CCTTCTCTGTGTGGAGTGGTGAAAGACATCACTGGACAGGCATGTAGCCGGGGGGGGGGGGGGGGGGGGCTTGAGGGGCTTCAGCCCCCCCCCCCAAAATTCTCATGGTGGTTCGCGAAAAGGCCTTACTGGTGCATTATTTAAACTGTTATGTTTATTCATATCATGATCTGATCACCATACTCAATATATCCCATATGCATGGGGGTATTTGGGTAATGATACAAAAGGTTTGCTAGGCTAGACCCTCTTTCACTCAGACTCAGCCCCCCCAAACTCAGCCCCCCCAAACCCCCCCTGAAATTTGCCCCCCCCCGAAATGAAATCCTGGCTACGGGCCTGTCACTGGAAGAACCTAGAAGAAGGAGTAGCCTTCCTCTTCTGCTGTGAAACTTCTGGTCTTTCTGAAAGCCTAAATGGGGAAATGGTGAGGTGGCTGGTGCCCTGTGGTGACATTGATGCTTTTACTTCTCTAGGAAATGACTTTAACTTATCAATGGATCATATAAAAAATCATAATTATGGTCCCAAAATCTCTCTGTGATTTTTACATGAGGACGATTTATACATGATTACATATGGTAGTTGGGGACTCAAAGCAAAGACATGGCTTTCTTTGGCCCCAGATGTATACCCTCCAACATTAAAAACCAGGTCACGTCAGAATGTGGTCAAGATGGCAAAATCATTAATGATGGGGGGGAAAACAAGCTAGGAGAGGCTGCAGCTGCTTGCTTTTAACTATGTGTGCTAGAAAGAGCAAAATTCCACCTCCTCTTGCAGTGTAAAAGACTCAGTGTTTGGACTCAGGAAGACTGAGCTGTATTGGCTCAGTGAGGAAAATTCATTGGGTGACCTTGGGCAAGTCACACACTATAAGAGGACACAGAGGAAGGCAATGGCAAACTACCCCTGATGTTTTTTGGCCATAGGTCAGTATTGGTTTGAAGGCATTTAGCAACTATGGCATGAAAACAAAACAGTCCATCAGCATCACATGAAATAGTTGGTGTTCTTTACAGGAAATCTGTGAAATGCAGTCCAGCATTTCAGACACTTGTGTCACCGTGAAAATGGACAACAGTCGAGACTTAGATGTGGCCTGCATCATTGAAGAGTTCCGTTGTCGGTATGAAGACATTGCGTCCCGAAGTCGAGCAGAAGCTGAGGCTTGGTGTCAGTGCCAGGTATATTGATTTCACCATCCTTAGTACAGTGTGCCCATGTGGTATTCATTACAATTTGGTTCCTGGACAATTCTCCCCCCCCTCCCCCAACACAATGGATACTAAAATCTGTGGATGCTCAAGTCCCGTTACATAAAAAGGCATTGATTTTGCCTATATAAAATGGCAAAATCAATGCTCTCTCTCTCTCTCTCTCTTCAAGATATTGATGGTGGAGTTAATGGAATTCAGGGAGCAAATTATATATAGCTCTTTGAAAATGAAGATGGTCCATCTGAATTTTGATGAGATATAAACCCAGCTATCAGAATTTATAAGGGTTGAACAACATAGCTGTTCCCATAACATCCAGAAGCTACCAGTGAGGGTTTTTTTAATTGATTTTTTATTTTACTAGAAACTTTGGTGTATCCCACAGTCTGGACAGCTGTATTGGCCTGATCCACTATCCAGATTAGAAACTAGAACCAGTAGCCTTTCTCTGTATTCATCGGTGCAGGAAAAGGGGATAGATCATACTCAAGTCACTGCTGCTGCCACTCCTACCTTCCCAGGAATCTCTGAACCCTTAAGTTCCCCAAAAGCACAGGCAGTTCTCTGTTCTATTTCAAATATTTTCTTTGTCAGCATAACATCTCTCAGTGCCATTTCAAAACACTCTCTAAAAAATCACAGATGCAAGCCTCTATCTTTTGATACATCTGCACCCCTTTCAGCCATCTTGAACTGTGCTTGACCACCTTTAAGGCAACCTGGTTAGCATCTCTAATTTTCCACCTCCAATCAATAGGAATACACACATCAGCCAGAAGTAAGTTGGTGGGTCCCAAAGAGAGTAAAACCAGTTGGATCAATTGTTCACATATGAATCAACATTTACTTAAATCCCATTAACTCAATGGGTCTACTTTATGGGACTGCCAAATATTTCAGCTGTGGGGGTAAGCCTTCATATATCTGTATAGATTTCTGATACAGTGACACATTGCTCATCAGTATATCAACTTCAGTATCAGGAATTGAAAACAACAGCTGCCAAACACTGTGATAATCTCCGCAATTTCAAAGATGAACTTGAAGAACTGACCAGGACAGTTAACAGATTGCAAGCAGAAATCTCCAATGTTAAAACTCAGGTAAGGATCAACAGTGCTACATGGATTGTCATACCTATGGTGATAATATAAAATTTATTTATTTATTTATTTGCTGCATTTGTTGACCGCCGTTCTCAGCCCTAGGGCGACTCACGGCGGTGTACAACATATAAAAGACAAATTTACAATAAAGCACTAACACAACGAAATATCATCCTAACCATCAATAATACACTAACAATATAATTACACTAAAATAATCCGCTCCGTCTCAACGTAGAATCATAACCAATCTCATAATCCATATTCCGTTCCAGTCGTCAATGTCAAAACGTAAAATGGTTTGTTTTTACTATTATATTCCTAATTAAGTGCTGCCAAGCTAGCAAAGGAATGCATTCCTGGAGAACTGCTGGGCCTGTATTGGAAAATGGGCACATCAGTTGAGGTCATGTTCCCAGGAGTGAGAAATGAGCTGGTTTCACATTTAATGCAAATATATATCTTATGGAATGAACACAAAATAAGCACAATCTGTATATTTTAGAACTGAAAAAACTTCATGAAATAAATATAATACTTTTGAAAAAAATTGTCCATTTAAAAGAAAATACACAAGAATAGAGCAATATCTGAAAATGTTCATGGAAAGAGACAGACATTTCTGTATGAAGTACAAAAGTGACTGTGACAGATCACCTTTCTAGGATAGCCTAGCAGTTCCAACCCTTGAAATCCTGTTACCCTACCCTTGTTTACCACTACTCCCTTCCAGGGTTGGATATTGTATCTCTAGGTGAGCCCTTATATGTGGACCTATGGCTGTGTTGTTGTAGTGAGTTTGCAGAGGTACTGTGACCAGTCTCTACCAAGTTTAATCAGAATAGACAGAGACAGTGGTTAAAAAAAACACACAAGAAACAAGAGGAAGTAGTGCTTTGATCATTAGACTATGAATGTTTGAATAAAACCCACTTGGGAAGTCACACTCTTGAAAATACAGAGAATGGGAATGGCATGTCTCTTGTGAACAAGAAATCCCTGTGCTAGGATTGCCAGGGGTCAGAAACAACTTGAAGTAACACAACAACAATTCAAATATTAACATGTTTACAATTTATTGCAGAAGTTTTCCTAAATAATTGCCATGTGATGAGGACCAGAGTGCAATATAAATATATTTATTTTCCTTAGTTAATGCTATACCACCTTGAACGTGCGTATTTCTCCCTTTGTTTCTCATCTCTCATATGTCTCCCATACCTTACAGCGCTGCAAATTGGAAGAGGAGGTGGCTGGTGCAGAGGAGCGTGGAGAGATGGCTGTGAAGGATGCCAAATGCAAGCTGTTTGATCTGGAGGATGCCCTGCACAAGGCCAAGCAAGACATGGCTTGCCAGTTACGAGAATATCAGGAATTAATGCATCTCAAGTTGGCCCTAGATATTGAGATTGCAACGTACAGGAAACTGTTAGAAGGAGAAGAATGCAGGTAAAATACAGAAAGGTTTCTGATATATACACGTAATAGGAGGGCTATTTCTGAAACTGCTGGAAAACTAAAGTAATGTTATTGTCTGTGTATTAACAATCAACAGATAGAAATGTTAGGCTTGTTTGGAAATTTACATCTCTGTGCAGCCATGGATATCTACTGGGTGACCTTGGAAGAGTCATATTGTTTCACCCTCAGAGCAAAGGCTAGCCCTCTTTGAAGAAATCTAGCTGAGGTTTGCCTTAGAGTGACTAATAAGCCAGAAATATCTTGAAGACTTGCAATAAGTTGATACAGTGCTGAAGTCTGAACAAAAACTCAGTATTGAAAACTGCAAAGTATAGGCATTTTCTCCCTGGATTTCATCTATACTGCTGCAGCAAATTTCACGCTTACTCATTCTGTACAAACAAAGCTTTTTACAAGTATACAGTGATATTGATATTATCCAGAAGAGTGTATGCCATTATAAAACATATCCATCCAGGCCCGTAGCCAGGATTTTGTTTCGGGGGGGGGGGGGG